TAGATCCGCTTGTTAACTGGCTTCCCAGTGAGGGAAGCTTTGATGGGTTCTGGCTGGGAAGAGTGTAATTCCTCCTCCCAGCGGCCGGGGGGGCGCCGCGCTGAAGGAGCCATGTGGGCTGCCTCCTGGCCCTGTTGCTGCTGCTGCTGCTCCTCGGACCCCTGGCCCTGGGGCTCCGGCTGCTGCCTGGTGGGTCCCTGGCTGCTCTGCTGGGCTTGGCCTGCGTCCTGCTGCTCTGAGCTGCTGTCCCTGTGTGAGTACCCACCACGCTGCCCACAGCCAGTCCCTGGTGCACCCCCTGCCCACAGCCAGCCCCTGCTGCACCCACTCCCTGCCCGCAGCCAGCCCCTGCCCGCAGCCAGCCCCTGCTGCACCCACTCCCTGCCCACAGCCAGCCCCTGCTGCACCCCCCTGCCCGCAGCCAGCCCCTGCCTACAGCCAGCCCCTGCTGCAGCCCCTGCCCACACCCAGACCCTGCTGCATCCAGACCCTGCTGCACCCCCCCTGCCTGCAGCCAGCCCTTGTCGCACCCCCTGCCTTCAGCCAGCCCCACGTCCACTGGTGCCCTGCAGTTCCCAGGGCAGTAACCCTGCACACCTGCTTCAATGAGGGGGGCAGGGAGCAGCTGGGACCCACACATGTGCACACCTTAGGGTGACCAGACAGCAAGTGTGAAAAATCGGGACAGGGGGTGGGGGCTAATAGGAGCCTATATAAGAAAAAGACCCCAAAATCGAGACTGTCCCTATAAAATTGGGACATCTGGTCACCCTAGGGTGTGCACATGTGTGGGTCCCCCCAGGGAGTGGCGGGGACCCACACATGTGAAATGGAGCTCATTTCTAGTTCAGGCCCATCTTTTTAAAAAAGAACCTTAGGTAGAGTTAACATACATCCGTATTTTCCTGGAGATGTCTGGCTTTTTGGTTCTTAAATTGCCGTCCAGGCAATTTAAAAATTTTAAAAATTCCTCCCAGGAAAATATGGACGTATGGTAACCCTATTGGTACAAAAAATACATACTGTGGCACATCCCTTAAATCATAACTTTTTATAGGGAACCGGTTGTTAAGATTTTAGCAGCTCATCACTGACCATTACTATTTTGATGAGAAGCTGTCTTGATTTCGTTGTGGCCTACAGAGACAACAGATTTGCAGATGCCATCACCGCTGCCAAAGAAATGGCAGAAAACTTAGGAGTTGAGCCTGTCTTCAAGGAAACTCATATTCATCAGAAGAAGAGACAGTTTGGTTATAAGGGCAGAGATGAGGTGATGGAAAGCTTGGAAGAAAAATTAAAGAGGGAGTTTATTTGCTCGCTCGTTGACACTGCTTTAGTGTCTACTGAAGAAAAGTTTGGACAAGTTGAAAAGTTTCATGAAGCACCATGAAAAGACTTGGTGGGAGAGGGAGTTGTATGATCTTAGTAAGCTGCCAGCGGACAGGAAAATACTCTTGAACAATTGTATGGCTCTTCACCAGATGCCGACACATGAGGAATGTTCAGACGTCAATGATCAAGACCTTTATGTCGAATTGGACAACACCCATCACATTTTGCAACATGGGAAGCACTTAATACGCCAAATTCTCCAAGTCATTCATGATGCAGAGCTGAAGGACACTTTTCTTAATGTATGGATAGCTTTGAGGATTCTGCTCATGCTGCTTGTCACAGTTGCGAGTGGTAAGCAGAGCTTTTCAAAGCACAGGCTCATTAAAACATATCTTTGATTGACAATGGCTGACGAGAGATTGACATTGCTTGCTATTTTATTGCTTGAAAATGCCATTGGCCAGTCTTTGGAGCTCGCTGACATTGTGCTTCAGGTCACAAGGGCAAAGGTGAGAAAAACGACCTTTTGAACTAACGGACTAGAGTTAACATTCTAGCACTGTCACCTACTATAACACTATTTAATACTGGTCCACCCAATGTTGGTGCACAGTTCAATTTCTTGACGGTAGTACATTTCAGTTATTCATAAAAGTCATAAAAAAAGTTTCTATAAGCTTAGAGGAAACAAATTTTTATTTGTTTATATAGGGCATTAAAAATACAGATTTACAGATCCTAGCATGCACATTTATCATCTTATATGACAGGGCTAAATCATGCTGCAACTTGTGCATGCAAGCCATGAAATGGTTACAAATGCAATAAAAAATAAGGTGTTCAGAAGTTTAACAAATGGAGAGGGGGGCTCAGAAGACACTCCTCACCTGAGCTGCCATTTGGCCTAGGTTTGGCATACAGGGGTTGTGGCAGGAGCCAGAATCAACCCACAAAGTTATATGTCATCATGTATGCCTAGCGCAAGCAAAATAAGCTTGGTGGTCTCAGTCGAATTCCTAGTAAAGAAGGGTTCAATCTGAAATAGTGACCATCCCCATACCATAGCTTGCATTACTTGACAGTTTTGACAGAGACCCCAAGAGATGAAGGGGCTGGGAGACTGAATGATCCTTCTAACCCTAGAAACAGTCCCTGCAGAGCAGGATTAAGCTATATGGGGAGGGCAGTGTGAGAAAGTTTGTACAGCTGTTCTGAAGCTACATAAAAGACTTCAGTCTTCAGGGCTGACAATTTGGCCATTTCAGCACCATTAAAATTCACCCCAAATCTTAAAATTAAGCTGAAAAATACAAATGAAAGTCCTGCTCAATTATCACTCTATTCTCTAAAGTTTCCAAAGCAGCAAATTTATTGCATGCAATGTGTTCTGTGTATACAGTCATTTTTTAGGCTTCAGTCACATATATGATAAGGAGGAAATTATTTGGTATCAATATTCATGATGAGATTGAAGCATAACAAGACTTTTAATGATGGCTCTATGGCATCTAAGAAAATTCTGATTAAAAATATTCTGGACTCCAGGCAGCATGTGGTTGCAGTTTAGTCCGAATGGTGAATTGACAAGTCCTAATGGTTAGAAAAGGGCATTTGAAAGCTTTATTTTTTCTCTCTGCAGTAATTAGTTGTACAAAAGTTTGGTCTAGGGTCCATATTTGTTTTATCAATTATCAGAAGAAAAACAATTAAGAGTAGATTCTATAAATCAAGCATGGAAGTGTTGCCACCAAGTGGTAAAAAATAGGTTAGGCACTAGCTCTTAATTTATGGATTAAAAAAAATTAAATCTCTAAAACATGCCAGGATATGTGGATTCCTTTTTTTATAGTTAGATGTTTTCTCTTTACATTTTTCTTTTTTAACGTGGTGGAAGTGACTATACCAGCATCAGTTCTATGATGGCCACTTTAAACTGCTCTTTAGGCTTCAAGCGGAGAGCCTGTGATCTATGTGTGAAGGGGACCTTCTGCATCTGAGTGTGTACAGAAAGGGGTTGGGGCATTGTCCCTCTCTCTGCCAGGGCCATTGCAGAGAGTCCTCCACAGTGTAACAGCTCCATGCATGGAGTCTGGATGGGGAGAGGATGTGCACCATTTCCTCCCCAACATGGATGGCATGTCTAAGCAAAAGTCATACAGCTGTGCGACCTTTTGCACAGAGCCCCTGGCTTCCACATATGAGGAAAGAAGAGATTCTGAAGTAGGTACTGGCTCAGAGGCACCTGGAAGGATGGCTTTGCCGGGATCTAGAGGAACAGTGAGTATGTTTGACCATTTCACAGGCCCTGATTCAGCAAAGCACTTAAGCATGTGCTTAAGGGTGAAATTTTCAAAAGCATCGATGGGTATGTCTACACTGCAATAAAAGACCTGCAACACTGCTGTGGCTGGCCTGGGTCAGCTGACTTGGGCTCATGCTGCAGGGCTATAAAATTGCAGGGGAGATGACCGGGCTCAGGATGGAGACTGGGGTCTAAGACCCTGACCCTCATGGGGTCTCAGAACCCGGGCTTCAGCCAGAGCCCAAACATCTACCTTGCTATTTTTAGCTCTGCAAGCCTGAGCATGTGAGCCCAAGTCAACAGACCCAGGCTCTGTGACTTGGTGCTGTGGTGGGGTTTTTTAATCGCAGCGTAGACATATCCTACATGACATTTAGGATCCTAAGTTCTTAAATAACTTTTGAAAGTAGAATTTAGGTTTCTAAGTCACTTAGGCCCAGATCCTCAAAGGTATTAAGGCTGCTAACTTCCACTGAAATTAGGACCCTAAATAGCTTTGAGGATCTGGGCCTTAGGCTCTTTACCCTAAGTCCAGGGCCTGAGGCAAATATACACTTCTGGACCCCCACCTTCTAATTTGAAGGAGGATAGATGGAAGGAAAGAAATGGAAAGAAGGAGGGGAAAAAAGCCACACACACTTCAGTGATGTTTCCTCCCATACTTGCCACTGCATTAAACCCCATCGTAGCCCATTCACTTACTGCTGTTGGAGAAGAAAGCAGTTTCTTTACCCAGTGCTTTCCTCTCTCCTGGGCTCTGCTGGCAAAGGCAAAGTGAGTTTCAGTTGCTGAGAGGCTTAGCTCTGCCCATTCATCCACTGGTGTGGATTTGCACATGAACTGAAAGAACTGAGTGAGCTGTGTTGCAACCTGTTGGCTGGGGTCACAATACCACTCAAATTCAGTCCAATCACCCCTCTGTCATAACAGAGGAGCAGCCAGGGCAAATTTGAGTGGTGTTACAAGTGCGACCGAGTGCAGCAGGTCACAAAGCCACTCACTCAAGTGAGTTAAATTCTTTCTTGCACCAGTTAAAAAAAAATTTGTTTCTCCCCCCACACCCATGATTTTGGGCCCCAGGCACCTGCATAGTTTCAATAAGCATGAATCCAATCCTGCCTAAGTCTCATTTTCAATGGGGCTTAAGCACATGCTTAAGCATTTTGCTGAATCTGGGCTTTAAGCTCTATGCTGCCAGCAGCATAAGTTATGCATCAGCCATAGGCTTTTGCTCACCATGGAGCATTTGAATAATGTCATTTGCCAAAGTAATAAAGTACTGATCTCAGTAATATAAGGTAAGTCATTGGGATCAGGGATAACATCTTTTATTCACATTTCTTGTTTTTCTACAGCACTGGTTCAGCAGTGCAAGCTGCCCCACACTCCCTTATCAATGTGCTTCACTCCTGATCTGGAAAGGCCCCCTCTAAGAATACATATGTAAGTAAGCAAGTCTCTCTTCTGAGACTGCCAACAAAGGTATCAGCCACACTGATTTATGTGCAGTGGACACCTATCCATTTGGAATCAGCTTCTGAATCAGCAAACGCATTTCATAGATGATACCAAGGAGCAGTGAGCAAAGTAGATTGAAGCAGGCGTGAGAGCTCGCACCACATCAGTGAGGAAGGAGGAGGCACAGGGGCACTGCTTGTCCATGCCAAGGAAAGATGGGGAGCTGTGCAGGAACATTGCTTATCCATGTCTGGGAGAATAGGGAGGAGGTCTCCCTCTGCTTTTAGCAGAGGAGGGTGAAGCTTTACTCCCCATGCTTTCCTTTACCTTAGCCTGTGTCAAGCAGCCTAGATGCTGTATAGACCATTTAATAATTCTCATACTGTTCAGGGAAAAAAATGCTCCAAAAAGCACTCAAATTCCATCTCAGAGAATGAGAATCTAAGTCCATAAACTTTAAGGGGGCTTGAATAGCTTTCAGCTTTTGGATGTTGTAGATGGCTTCTACCCATCCAGTTTGAACAAGTCCCTTCCCTCTCACCAGCTCAGTACCGTTCCCCACTTATCTTTCTAAGGCCTTGTCTACACAGAAAGTTATTCTGGAATAGCTATTGGACTTCAACTTCACACGCTGCCTTAATCTGAATTAACTTTCAAGTGTAGAAAAGCTCTAAGCCTCCTGAAATAGTTGGCTCTGCTCCAACCAATTTTAGAAATGTGGAAACAACGCAGTTGCATGTGGCACTGTTCAGTGGCAAAAGCAGTGGGATTAGGAGCAATAGCAATAACAAACATTTTCCTTTGTTAGCTAGAAAGAAGGTAGAGGAACAGCAGAAACCTTGTGTTCATAGGGAATGGAATTGAAGAAACTGGGATCTTCTTACACCTAAAAGTGATTCTTACACATCTTGTAAGTATAAGTCCAGCACTCGATCCTCTGCATAAATAAGAAGTAGAACAATGGGAATAAAAGCCAAACAGTAAAGAATTAGGTCAAAATGATGTTTTTACAAAACTGACATCTTTTTTCAGCAGTACATCACTTCTTAGGTTTCTTTCAGCAACTTCTCTCCATATCTTTGTATAATTGCCTTTTATTTTTTAGCGTAAAAGTCTGAAGTGCTCTCCCTATCTTATTCATTTGTTTATTTTTCTAGCATTGTCAGTGTTGCCACCATTATCTTCAGACCAAGAAAATGATGGCAAAAGGCAGAAGCATTCACCAAGTTCCTTGTAGCCCAGGTTTAGTCTCTGTAAACTGCAAATCACAGCTAAGGAGTTAAATTAATGCAGCTGACATTATGAAAGGTAGAAACTGGAAAATGTATGTGCTAGTGAAAGCTGACAAGAGAAGAGTTCTCCAAAAAGCACACTGCATAACTTCTTAGGCTCTTACAAGTGCATCTGTGAATAAATTCCAATTTTATTTCTCCATATTATAAGAAGGAAAATGAAAGAGAATGTTAACCTGAGTAACACACAGCAGTGTTACGTGGGTGGGGTGGAGTGTGATTATTATAATTAGGTATATAGATCGATTTAGTATGATTTAGCGGATAAAAGGGACCTTGCTTGAAATGCTTTATATTCCACTTTATTCAATACCGTATGTTTAACACGACCATTTGGGCAGAGCAAATTCTTTTCTAATGTGATGGCTATTTTTTAACTATCACATGTATATGGATGACAATTTTTTATTAATTATTATGACTACTACGTTGGGCATGGTGGCGCACGCCTGTAATCCCCGCTACTTGGGAGGCTGAGGCTAGCAGATTGCTCAGGGGTTCTGGGCTGTGGTGCGCTATGCCAATTGGGTGTCCAGTGCCACTGACAGCCTGGCCAGTGGTGGCTGAAGGACGGGCTAGAACAACACAAATGATGTGTTGTGATCAGTGCTCTCTCTTTAAGCAGCCTGATCAGTGAAGGTGATTATGACTACTACTTTAAAAACAACCAAACAAAATTAAATCTAGCAGATATTCTAATAACAAATTCAGAACCAGATGAAGCAATTAGGGAATTAATTTTGCAAACAGTTGAGGTTTTATTTGTTTTATCTGGGTTTTTGTACATGGAAAAGACCAAATTTGTATAAGAAAGAGGACTAATTTTGCATAAAAAGAAGTGCAGGTGCACAGATACTTGCATTTGTATACACATCTACTCCAAGTGCTCTCACAATTACTGAAATTATGTGTCCATGCAGTTCCATGTGCAAAGACCTCATTTATGTGTATAATTCTGGTATTTGCATGTGCATCTGCAGGAACATATACATCTGAACCTTTGACTCCATTTTACAACAAAATACATGACCCCCAAATATTTCAGATTAAATATTTTTCTTTCTTGTCAATTATTTTTCTTTAGAAAAGTGGGAAAAATAATGACTGAATAAACAAAGGAATAGTAATGAAGTTTAAAAATGTAATAAAAACACACAAAAAAGTGATGGGAATTTGTAGGGCTAAAAACTGGACACTCTATGAATGCTGCTGAAAATTTTTTATTAACAAAACCCCACACAATTTGCTACAGAGTTCAAGCAAATCAGATTACTCCCGAGGGAATTCTGTTCCACTGCACATGTGCAGAATTCATGTCCCCTGCAGAATTTTTTTTCTCTGCAGAAAATAGATTCTGCCGGAGAGGCACTCAGTTATGCCTTTTGCCCACCAGGGGCTGCTGTGGCACAGAACAGAGGGAAGATGTTTCTAGTCAAGAGCTGGCAGCTGTGGAGACGGGTGATTGAGAAGAGGCTGCTTTCCTCACAGCATCCTGCCCGTGGGGCCAGGTTAGGAAGCATGGGAAATGTGTGTGTGGTGGGGGGGTGAGGGGGCGGACAGCGCAAGGCACATGGGGCTGCTGGGGGAGGTCACAGGGGTTCAGAAGGGCTACTGGGGGGGACAGATTGGGGCAGGGGATGAATGGGAGTGGGGTGCATCTTTATGAAAGCCAGACAACTTTCTGGATGTTGCATATTTTTGCAACTATACCATTTGGTTGCCATGCTAAATATGCCAGGCTTCAAAGAGTTAATGCTGCAGTATATCTTGCACTTTGTTTCTTTGACAAAAAGCATTCTTTAAATAGTTTTGTAAAATGATTAGTTGTATTAGCCTAGTGCCTGGGAGCCTCAGTCATGGACCAGCCCCATAGGTGCTGACTCCATGGGTGCTCCGGGGCTGGCGCACCCACGGGGAAAAATTAGTGGGTGCTCTGAACCCACTGGCAGCCAAGCTTCTCTCACCTCCCTGCCCCACCTCCTCTTCCCCTGAGTGCGCTGCGTCCCCGCTCCTCCGCCTACCTCCCAGCGCTTCCTGCCCAGCCGCCACCAAACAGCTGTTTGGCAGCATTAGCATGATCCAGGAGGGAGGAGGAGTGGGAACGTGGAGCGCTGAGGGGAGGAGGCGGGGAAGAGGCAGGGCCAGGGTGGGATTTGGGGAAGGAGTTGGAAGAGGGGCAGGGAGGGGGTGGAGTTGGGGCAGGGACTTTGGGGAAGGAATTGGAATGGGGGCGGAGCAGGGGTGGGGCCTCATGGAAGGGGTGGAGTGGGGGGTGGGGCCGGGGGCACTGGTGGGTCGAGCACCTACAGAAAAGGGGGAAAGACGGCACCTACGACCAGGACCCCATTGTGCTAGGTGCTGGTACAAACACAGAACAAAACTACAGTCCTTGCCCCAAATGTGGAATGTGCCCTCTGGTGGCCAAAATACTGGGCCAAATTCAGGGGTTGCACTAGTGTAACAGAGAAAATTCTGGCCCAGGACCTTTAAATCCCAATGAATGTTGTGTAGCACAGTAGTGGAAAATGTGGCTGCTTGTTATCTCAAAGACAGGCTACTCCTGCTTAAGGCCACAGTCCTACAATGATTTCTGTGTGGATAAACTCCTGTATCCACACGGAGCCCCATTGACTGAAGTTGGGCTCATGGATCCATCTATGTGGAGCTTATTACAGGAATCTAAGGTTTTGGATTGTTTTTTTAAATTCCTCTCTGATTTTCTTCAAGACTGATTAGTAGTTAATTATGAAAAACAGAACAGAGAAAGGATCACTGATCTCAAACATTTCATATTAAAAAAAAAGCCATGTTTTTTGGGGTGGGATGGGAAGGGAGGATCCTGTTCAGGTAATCAAAGCTGAAATAGCTAAGAAACCCTGCCATGCTAGCAAAGTCTTAAGCATTTAAATAATTGAGCTAAACAATTAATCTATTGTCAATCCTGAACTTCAGTTAAACTATATTAAAGGATTATAAAATAATCATCATATTAGAACTATAGAGAATGAACATCAGTGCAAAGGGACCATATATATATATATACACTCACACGCACACCGGCCAATATGCAAGGCCTCTGATGCTCCCCATTTCTTTCTACTGCAGTGGCTCCTCCCTTCTAGAGGTTCTGTCATTATTAGAGCAGAGAGCAGCAGCTGTTCCACCCACCACCACAGTCCACCCTATTCATGTGTAAGTGCCTGAGGAGGGAGGAGACAGCGGGAAATGGACATGGTCCTTTACTCTTCCCATCTGGAGTCCGTGTAGCATGGGTTCAGGGGAGAGAGCTAGGGGAAAGGAGGCACTGGGAGATCCAGGCATAGGGATGTGGGGTGGGTCACAAGGAAAAATCGGAGGTCACAGAGACAGGGTGGTATATGCCCCTGGAACATGGGGGAGAAATGTTGATGGGCCAAAGGGACACAAGAGAATGATGGGGAAAGGGGTCACAGAACTAAAGGAAGCCCCAAGCCTCTACTATTCCAAGAGAGAGAGAAATAAAAAGCCCTGAAGCTTCTTCCCGGTGAAAAGAGGAGAAACCCAGACACGCATCCTCCTGGAAGAAGAAGGTAGAGATGATCCCTGAAGATGCTAGGAGGTAGGTGAATAAGCCAGCTGTCTTCCCATGGGGGCTGAGACCAGGGCCCCTGTAGAGCCTTTATACCTCCCTATCAGGCCTTGAGCCAGATGCTTTGTTTCTGTTCACATTGTGTAGGAATTTACACTAGTGCTAAATTAGCATCTATAGTTACCAGTCTGATCTGATAGTGTTTTTACAACCAAATTGCACTGCTGTAAATGATTACATAACAGTATTGCCAACTCGTGTGATTTTATCATAAATCTCACGATATTTGAGGGTTTCAAATGGATCTCAAGTATATCATAGACTCATAGAATATCATGGTTGGAAGGGACCTCAGGAGGTCATCTAGTCCAACCCCCTGCTCAAAGCAGGACCAATTCCCAACTAAATCATCCCAGCCAGGGCTTTGTCAAGCCTGACCTTAAAAATCTCTAAGGAAGGAAATTCCACCACCTCCCTAGGTAACCCATTCCAGTGCTTCACCACCTTCCTAGTGAAAAAGTTTTTCCTAATATCCAACCTAAACCTTCCCCACTGCAACTTGAGAACATTACTTCTTGTTCTGTCATCAGGTATCACTGAGAACAGTCTAGATCCATCCTTTTTGGAACCCCCTTTCAGGTAGTTGAAAGCAGCTATCAAATCCCCCCTCATTCTTCTCTTCTGCAGACTAAACAATCCCAGTTCCCTCAGGCTCTCCTCATAAGTCATGTGCTCCAGACCCCTAATCATTTTTGTTGCCCTCCTCTGGACTCTTTCCAATTTTTCCACATCCTTCTTGTAGTGTGGGGCCCAAAACTGGACACAGTATTCCAGATGAGGCCTCCCCAATGTCGAATAGAGGGGAATGATCACGTCCCTCGATCTGCTGGCAATGCCCCTACTTATACAGCCCAAAATGCCATTAGCCTTCTTGGCAACAAGGGCACACTGTTGACTCATATCCAGCTTCTCGTCCACTGTAACCCCTAGATCCTTTTCTGCAGAACTGCTTCCTAGCCATTCGTTCCCTAGTCTGTAACAGTGCATGGGATTCTTCCTTCCTAAGTGCAGGACTCTGCACTTGTCCTTGTTGAACCTCAGCAGGTTTCTTTTGGTCCAATCCTCTAATTTGTCTAGGTCCTTCTGTATCCTATCCCTACCCTCCAGCGTATCTACCAGTCCTCCCAGTTTAGTGTCATCTGCAAACTTGCTGAGAGTGCAGTCCACGCCATCCTCCAGATCATTAATGAAGATACTGAACAAAACCGGCCCCAGGCCTAACCCTTGGGGCACTCCGCTTGAAACCGGCTGCCAACTAGACATGGAGCCGTTGATCACTACCTGTTGAGCCCGACGATCTAGCCAGCTTTCTATCCACCTTATAGTCCATTCATCCAGCCCTTACTTCTTTAACATGCTGGCAAGAATACTGTGGGAGACCGTATCAAAAGCTTTGCTAAAGTCAAGGAATAACACATCCACTACTTTCCCCTCATCCACAGATCCAGTTATCTCCTCATAGAAGGCAATCAGGTTAGTCAGGCATGACTTGCCTTGGGGGAATCCATGCTGACTGTTCCTGATCACTTTCCTCTCCTCTAAGTGCTTCAGAATTGATTCCTTGAGGACCTGCTCCATAATTTTTCCAGGGACTGAGGTGAGGCTGACTGGCCTGTAGTTCCCCGGATCCTCCTTCTTCCCTTTTTTAAAGATGGGCACTACATTAGCCTTTTTCCAGTCATCCAGGACCTCCCCCGATCGCCATGAGTTTTTAAAGATAATGGCCAATCGCTCTGCAATCACATCCGCCAACTCCTTTAGCACCCTTGGATGCAGCGCATCTGGCCCCACGGACTTGTGCTCGTCCAGTTTTTCTAAATAGTCCCGAACCACTTCTTTCTCCACAGAGGGCTGGTGACCACCTCCCCATGCTGTGCTGCCCAGTGCAGCAGTCTGGGAGCTGACCTTGTTTGTGAAGACAGAGGCAAAAAAAGCATTGAGTACATTAGCTTTTTCCACATCCTCTATCACTAGGTTGCCTCCCTCATTCAGCAAAGGGCCCACACTTTCCTTGACTTTCTTCTTGCTAACATACCTGAAGAAACCCTTCTTGTTACTCTTAACATCTCTTGCTAGCTGCAACTCCAAGTGTGATTTGGCCTTCCTGATTTCACTCCTGCATGCCTGAGCAATATTTTTATACTCCTCCCTGGTCATTTGTCCAATCTTGCACTTCTTGTAAGCTTCTTTTTTGCGTTTAAGATCAGCAAGGATTTCACTGTTAAGCCAAGCTGGTCGCCTGCCATATTTACTATTCTTTCTACACATCGGGATGTTTTTTTCCTGCAACCTCAATAAGGATTCTTTAAAATACAGCCAGCTTTCCTGGACTCCATGTTATTCTCCCAGGGGATCCAGCCCATCAGTTCCCTGAGGGAGTCAAAGTCTGCTTTTCTGAAGTCCAGGGTCCATATTCTGCTGCTCTCCTTTCTTCCTTGTGTCAGGATCCTGAACTCATGGTCACTGCCTCCCAGGTTCCCATCCACTTTTGCTTCCCCTACTAATTCTTCCTGGTTTGTGAGCAGCAGGTCTAGAAGAGCTCTGCCCCTAGTTGGTTCCTCCAGCACTTGCACCAGGAAATATGAGGAACGAACTAATGTAGGGGGCAGATGGAGGACCAGAAACAGTGTGGGAGACTGTGGGAGATTGTGAGTGGGGCAACTGCCTATCCTGTCTAGCTGGGGGGGGGGAAGTATAGAGAGGGATAGAATGCAGTATTGCCAACCCCGAGCATTCAGAAATCATGAGTCAGACCTCCAAAACAATGAGATTGGCTTAAAAATAATGAGATTTTAAAAATACATTTGGGGCTCTTTTCCTTTGTTGGCGCATTTACAGGGCACATTTTCAAGCTTTCTTCTGCAACCATGAGGGCTGGAAACTTACTTTT